TGAAGCGTCAACAATCCCTGGGTAAAGTTTGCCACACTCCCTTGGAGTATCCTGTTGCTTACAATCATTAGCACCATTGAATTCAGTGGCACCATCCATGCATCCAAGTATAATTTTTCATGAATGACAGCAGCAGCACTCTGTTAAAGATTTGAATTACTCCGTTCCCTGGATATGTGATATTTCTTGAATTCATTATGAAAGTTGAAAGAGAAGTAGCACAAAAAATCTGCAGATCTGCTTGCAAATCCTTTCTCAGAATCCTATTTCTTCTACAAGGGAAGTAGGAGACATTTTAAAGCTAGAATTTAGGAATGCCACTTGATTAAACTGGTAGACAAGGACATAGTATGTGTCCATTTGTGATTAGTGAGACTTCAAAGGATTCAAGAGAATGCATAAATTAACTGATAAAAAACTTTATTGGAAAACTAGTAAATCAGAATGGCTATTCCATTTCAGCTTTACTAAACTCCATTATTAATAAGGTCTGGCTATTACTGTGGTCATATCACTGTGTAGGGGTTTGCTAACCTATCAAAGCCTTTTAAGTTTCATTAATGATGAAAAATTCTTGCATGTGAGTCTTTCATATTAGATAGTAAATTGTATTTGAAAGTATAGTCTGTGCTTGAGCATGAATAAACTATGCATTTTTTCTAATCAGTGATATATCTTCCCCAACGGGGCAAGACCCTAGTCCTAGGCTGGGGCTTCCAAGCACTTCTGATTTGCTTCAGAAGACTGGATGGAGGCACATGGGTCTGGGAGCTAACTCATAAAAAGAAAGAAAGATTATGGAGCATCCTTTGTAACCATCTAATGTATAGTTTCATTGTGTCTGCATTAAGTCTAATTCAAAATGGGCAAATAATAGTGAAGATAAATAAGGCATCAAGTTTAATTTTCTCTCATTTTCAGAAAGGCTTCAGGTCTTCTGTGAGTATTTCATAATTTCAAACTTTTGTTAACCCAGAGCTTCATAAAATTAATATATAGATGAATGTTAAATGTAGAAGAACAGTGTTTGCTTGTTTTAAGACAGTGGCACATTAAATTTTCGTCTTACAGCCTTGCTCAGCTGCAGGTAAGATTGGAACATCTAGATTTATTACCCGCAAAAAAATCAGTTGCTTTGTCTTTTATTTTTTAATTCTCAAAAAAACTCAATGATTATGCAGATTTTTTTTTTTTTTTTTTTTTTTTTTTTTTTTTTTTTTTTTTAGACTATAGCTTCAAGCAGATATCAGCTTAATTCTTTAATGGATGAAAAGGACTGACGTGTCATTCTGTGCTTTGGGGATTCATTCAGAGAAGACAGAAGATGAGGATGCCAAAGTCCCTACAACCAGGACAACAATGGCCCTCAGACACTCTGATCCTCAGGAGCAGAGCCAGAGCATTCACACCCATATCACTTCTCCCACCTGGCGGCAAGACCCTGCTTTGCCCTGTGAAGCTGTCCTACTTTGCAGTAAAAGGTTGAAGGGGACAGCAACAGAACATAGCTGTAGTCCAGGGATTAAGGGATTCACCCAGAAGGGAAGAAAACTGGTTTAATCTCTTCTTCAAGGGCTGTTTTATGCAGATGAATGCAAAACAGGTAAGCTGCCTGTAGAACAAGGACTGGCATGAAAGTACCCTGCTTTGTTCAGGCATGAGCTCTGATGGGGCCTGGGGAGGAGGGATCCCTGAAGGAAGGTCCCTTCAATAGTGCTGGGCACCATGAGGTCTCTCTGCAAGGCTGATGGACAGTCAGTCATAATTTCAGCAACGATTGCAATAATAACAAGCTTGAGCCCAGGGATTTTCAAGCGTTTTAGGATGAAAGCAGCTGTGTACAGTCAAACCACTTTGCAAAAAGGCATCTCTCTAATCCATTAATTCTCCATTACGGGCTAAGTACGTTTCTTAATTACTGAGGATGACTTTGGAGAGTGGTTTAACCACGTGATTTCCACTAAGATGAATAAAAAGTTTATCGTTGCATCCAACTTTGCCTAATATCTTAATTTCACCCTCAGAGCTGTGATTGCAGGCAGCAGTCAAATGAGATCCATTTAAGGAAAAATGTGTTTAGCATCAGCATTCAGGATTTAATGTACATAGCTTGATCCTCTTTATTTGTAATTCCCTGTTCAGGCATTTACCTTCTATGCTGTGAGAGCATCTTGTGCTCTGAGAAGGCCAGGTTGAGGAACGATGTGTGATGCAATCACAGCAAAGTTGCTTTTCCTGAAGTCAAGGAGTGTGAACAAAAAGCTTCCTGGGTCTGTCCAGTTTTTAAAATCAATCATGTCAAACAGGGAATAGGAGGAAAGGAGCAGACAGGGCTTTGGCCTTTTTCTCCTCCTCTGTGCTGCTTCCAGGGTCCCCACTGCAAAAGCTGCAACCTCAGCTCTCTGATTACTTTTGTTCAGCTTCAGGGAGCTACTGCATCCCTACCCCCTACAAGTCCCTCAGGGGCACTGCAACAGCTGAGAATAAAAGGAATGCACCAAGGTCAGGTCAGCTTTCTGTCACCCTCCCCTTCAAAACACTCCTCTTCCAGAAAGGAAAGTCATGGCTTGTTTCGGTAGTGTTGCACCATTCAGTGTCCTCAAATTCACAATAATGAAGGGGGTGGGAGGAGAGTTTAGAGCAGAGCAGTTTAGTTTAGTGTCAGTGCAGAGCAAACAGTTGACACCTTAGAGGCTGAGGGTCTTGATCTGGTAAGACATCTCTTCCAGTGGGAAACTGGTTGGAAAACTTGCTCCTCTCTCCATTTCAGCCCCTTCCTTCCCACCCACAGTCTGAAGCTCATGCTTCCCTCAGCTGTGCCAAGGCAGCTGCTTTGGGGACCGCTGCAAACAGGATTGGTTCAATTATTGGTTCAATTTTTTAGGAATAAAGCTTTTTATTATTATTATTTTGCTTAATTCATGTCAATAATCCACTCTGCAGTCCAGCCGCATGAGCTGGTGCGTTGCTCAATGGAGGGGGCAGAGAGACACAGTGCTGGGAAGTGAAACTCTGGCTGAGGAACTGTTTCATTGTACTAC